ATGCTTAGATCTTTCTTGATATTTTAAGGACTGAGTTTCTCTCAGAAATTCTTGATCATTTTATTTCGAGGCTTGCACTATGTTTGATACTACATGGATGAAAATCTGGTGATTGCTCATAAAAGCTACAACCGCTGCTTTTAGTATAATATTGAATAACTTTTATTCAGTTAAAGTGGATTTTTCTTTAGGCCTTCAGGGTACATAACTTCTATTTTGGACAAGGTCAGACCGACAGGTGTTCCGACCAAGTTGCTTACAGTTAACTGGTTCTGTGACCATGGTCATACATAACCCTGCTACATTTTTTGGAATTCATGTCAGCTCCAACCCTGTCAATCTTTTCTTTTCAGAAATCACAGTTGCAACTGGCCAGGTGAGTGATATCTTTGATGAAGTCAATAGAATTTTAATACGACAATAAACCTGCATTATCCATGAAGAAGGGCAGCCCGGTGCATAAATTCCCGCTATGCGTGCGGTCCGGGGAGTGCCGGACCACAATGGTCTATTATACGCAGTCTTACCGGCTGCATATTTCTGCAGAGGCTGTTTCCACGGCTCGAACCCGTGAGACACCTGGTCACATTGCAGCAACTTTACCAATTACGCTTAGGCTCCTCTTCATTATCGATGAAGAAATATTATATTATTTAGAGGATCAAACCTCGACATAATGGATGACTGGGAAAAAAATATCAATTCATATGTTACCCAATTTTGGTTTGTTATAGTGCCAGTGTTCATGTTTTAAACAACATTTTGACAGAATTTCCTTTACCTGATGTTTTCTCCTGATTTACAACTTATGGATGCAGTGTTGGACGAATATATCAACCAAAAAAGAGCCAGCGCAGTATGTCTGTGAACCTGATGGGTGTAGAATCCCCCTATATGGAAGCTGGGATAGCCTTAGTAAAATCAGATGGCAAGTGACGGGTTCCATTGAAATTAGACTTTGAAATATCCTGTCAAAAGTATTTAGTTTGGCAAGCTGGTGAAGACAAAGCATCGGAAACACATCTCTTGTTCCTTGTCATCAGCTCAAAAAGCACAAAGGAAATAAAATTCAAGCAGGATTCCTGTGCATTCGATTGAGATTGCAACATCCAGTCCATTCTCCAAGATATAGTTACCAAGTTGCTAGAACTGCGTATAGGACAATGTTGGTTCTTTTCTCTGATATATCCTTGTCAATTGTTTCAGAATAATTTTTTACAGCTTGAAGCAAGAGGATATGGGTAAATTGGTACAGAGTCCTTCCTAAGGTGCAGGAACTCTGAAAAGTAGATGCATGGAGCAAGCTACTTCCGACAGTGCTATGTTTGATGTGAACCTGGGTTGCCAAATCTGTGGCCAATAAAGCAACATGAATCTTGGATCAGGATTTGGAGGTTCTGGGCGCCACACTGCTTTGAACAGGGGCATGGCGTATGTAGGATTTTGCGCTGAGTGTTGTTAATATTCACATAAGAGATCAATAAATGATATATTTATCATCAATTATTTAGACAAGGAGAGCCATTGTTTGATTGTTTAGTGGAGTGTTAAGATAGAAAGAGTTCTAGAGTTTAATTCTACTTATCCACAAATTTTTAACAACAGAGGCTCCCTTAATTATAGGCGAAATACATAAACGGCCCCTTCAAGTTGTCCTTAACGACCAACTGAACACCCCAACTGATCCATTTACCATTTAGACACTTCAAGTGTTTATTAAGTGTATCAAGTAAACACCCGAGTGCTGAAGACTCCATGCGTGAGCTACACTTGCCAATGACATGTCAAATGAGCCAATTAAAAAACGACACGTGTCAATTGGAATAAAAAATTGACACATAGCTTAAAAGAAAAAATACATTAAAGATGAAATAGAAACCTTCTTCCTTTACTTTTGTTAAAGACCAGCACTACCCCTCCCCCCTCTCCCTTCCCCCTCCCTTTCATCTTATTCTGCATCAGTCATGTCCTCCATTGTCAAAGCTCATTATGCGACCTCCATTGTCAAAATGGAGAAATCTTGCAATGTAGAACAATTTTTTTTGTTTCTTTCTACTGCAATGAGAACAGACAAGGGGCGACATCTCTGCCTTTTTGCTAAACTCAATCAAAATCAGATGTAAAATATATGATTTCCTTACCTCTATGGTGGTTTCATGGTGGTTGAGGTGGTTTTGTTAAGAAGAAAAGAAAAAGAGAGGCTAAGTTTGTATTAACTTTCCCTACCCAAAGAGATCTGCCAACCCCAATTATTTGGTTACCGTCGCCGTCCAAATCCCCTCCACTTTTTTTTTCTTGCTCAAAACCAAATAAAAAATCGTCCTAACCCACTTAATTGAATATTTTCACCAGCGTAGAACCAATTACAAAATTTTAAGAAGGTAACGAAGGACAGATGTAGATAAATTCTTTATTCGAATATTTGAAGCAAGCTAAGTTGAGAATTTGTGATTTCTGTTTGGTGTTTGAGTCGTAGCCTAAATCACCCAAGCTGTTCCAACTAGAAATTCATGGCTGCTTGGATCGAATTGTTCATTGTTTGTAACTGATTAAAATTTTAAAAATGTGAATTCGTTTGAA